TTATTTCATGAATTACTTCGAAATTATTACAACAGCAAAATGCAGTTAAGTTGGAAATAATTAGGTGTGATGTATTTTATGATTAAAGCAAGTACCACCAAAAGAAATATGGGGAGGATAATTAGAAGTTAGCATCTTTTACCAGAGAAACACTTATTTTCTTGCTAAGATTTACGTATAATATACAAATGAGCAGGCATAAACTTTTCTTGTTTTGGAATATAATAGCCCTGCAATCAATGATTTTCTTTCTTTTCTTTTTTTAATCTGTATCCTACATCTGTATACCATTCTTAAATATTATTACATGCTATTTAGTTTCACGTAACTCTAAATAATATTATGTGTAAATATAATTACGATATAAGTACTTTTCACATAACTGTACACATTCACATTTGGAATATCGGCGCTCCTCAAAAGAGCGCAAGTCGTTTGAGTGGCAGTGAACTTATTTTACAAATTGTTATTGTAATCACTTTGCTGGACTGTTCCGAATTCTTGTTCATTTATTCATCTTTCTTTTCTTTGTTTTACTTTAAGGCTCTATAAACGTTGCAATATTCGGTGAATTTTCATATCATATCATTGACTCCAACTATGTATGCAATCATTACTGATTTTCTTTATCAAAGTTGTGGTGAGTGTGCTGAATAGGTACTCCGATAAGAGTTACCGTTATATATGTATATATTAATATATGCATAATGTTACAGTTTTAGAAACGAGTTCACTAAATATATCGTTACGTGTGTGACTGAATTATAGTGAAATGAAATCTGTCCTTATCGTTTCCTTCGGTATAGAGAAAGTGTTTGATGAAAGCACTTTGAACACCTTACGTTAGGTTGTTTTAGAACTTTGTGAAACAAGGAGAAAACATTTCCCATTGTCTCGCTGATTTTGTATGCATACCTGACGTAACTGAACTTCGGTAGAATATTTTATCTAACAACGCTAATTGTAATTTTAATCCTGGCGAAGGTAGAAAAATCGTTTATAGCTTATTTTCGTCTAGGTGTGTAGATCGTGTTGTTTGCTCGGAGATTTTCAATGAAGGTGTATCACAGCATGCCTTTTCTCAACAGGATAATAGGTTAATTGTAGGTACAGTCAGAAAAGAATTTTCGACTGGAACACGCAACGAATTGCAAATTCGTGTGTGTCCGACCTGGAGCCGATTTCCATCGGCTCGTTACATCGTAACTGAAATAATATAGAAACGTGGAAAGTAAACGATGTAAGTACTTACATGTATTTTAAAATACCTTCGACCCAGCGCGATCCTAGGTCTGAATTTGAATTCAACTAATTGATTTCATAGATCGAATTCATGGTTAGTAATACGAGTCGGATCGATCGCAACTGCGACCATGTGTTGTTTACGTGTGCACGCGTGTAGGTGTAGATGTTGTTGTTGTTATGTCAAGAGTTTAATTGATTTAAAAAATGGATATGCTACCAGTACTCGGTCCGCGTTTATTGTACAGCCATTACGAGTGAGAGAGGCGCGTATGTTTGTCCGCGTTCAACATACGTGTATGATATTAGCGAAATTTGCGATTTTCTTTATCGTTAGTCTGCTTATATCGTGCTACTATAAACTAGTAGCTATGTAATGCATTCATATACCTAGTCTAAGTATCAGTAATTGATTAGACTAGAATTCTGATAATACCTATAATGCAAGGAAATCTACATTAGCATAAGTTTCAGTTCCATAGCGTTTATTGCCTTTCTCACTGATTCTGTATGATNCATATTTGTCAGTCAAAGATTGCTCGAACTTATTTCATGAATTACTTCGAAATTATTACAACAGCAAAATGCAGTTAAGTTGGAAATAATTAGGTGTGATGTATTTTATGATTAAAGCAAGTACCACCAAAAGAAATATGGGGAGGATAATTAGAAGTTAGCATCTTTTACCAGAGAAACACTTATTTTCTTGCTAAGATTTACGTATAATATACAAATGAGCAGGCATAAACTTTTCTTGTTTTGGAATATAATAGCCCTGCAATCAATGATTTTCTTTCTTTTCTTTTTTTAATCTGTATCCTACATCTGTATACCATTCTTAAATATTATTACATGCTATTTAGTTTCACGTAACTCTAAATAATATTATGTGTAAATATAATTACGATATAAGTACTTTTCACATAACTGTACACATTCACATTTGGAATATCGGCGCTCCTCAAAAGAGCGCAAGTCGTTTGAGTGGCAGTGAACTTATTTTACAAATTGTTATTGTAATCACTTTGCTGGACTGTTCCGAATTCTTGTTCATTTATTCATCTTTCTTTTCTTTGTTTTACTTTAAGGCTCTATAAACGTTGCAATATTCGGTGAATTTTCATATCATATCATTGACTCCAACTATGTATGCAATCATTACTGATTTTCTTTATCAAAGTTGTGGTGAGTGTGCTGAATAGGTACTCCGATAAGAGTTACCGTTATATATGTATATATTAATATATGCATAATGTTACAGTTTTAGAAACGAGTTCACTAAATATATCGTTACGTGTGTGACTGAATTATAGTGAAATGAAATCTGTCCTTATCGTTTCCTTCGGTATAGAGAAAGTGTTTGATGAAAGCACTTTGAACACCTTACGTTAGGTTGTTTTAGAACTTTGTGAAACAAGGAGAAAACATTTCCCATTGTCTCGCTGATTTTGTATGCATACCTGACGTAACTGAACTTCGGTAGAATATTTTATCTAACAACGCTAATTGTAATTTTAATCCTGGCGAAGGTAGAAAAATCGTTTATAGCTTATTTTCGTCTAGGTGTGTAGATCGTGTTGTTTGCTCGGAGATTTTCAATGAAGGTGTATCACAGCATGCCTTTTCTCAACAGGATAATAGGTTAATTGTAGGTACAGTCAGAAAAGAATTTTCGACTGGAACACGCAACGAATTGCAAATTCGTGTGTGTCCGACCTGGAGCCGATTTCCATCGGCTCGTTACATCGTAACTGAAATAATATAGAAACGTGGAAAGTAAACGATGTAAGTACTTACATGTATTTTAAAATACCTTCGACCCAGCGCGATCCTAGGTCTGAATTTGAATTCAACTAATTGATTTCATAGATCGAATTCATGGTTAGTAATACGAGTCGGATCGATCGCAACTGCGACCATGTGTTGTTTACGTGTGCACGCGTGTAGGTGTAGATGTTGTTGTTGTTATGTCAAGAGTTTAATTGATTTAAAAAATGGATATGCTACCAGTACTCGGTCCGCGTTTATTGTACAGCCATTACGAGTGAGAGAGGCGCGTATGTTTGTCCGCGTTCAACATACGTGTATGATATTAGCGAAATTTGCGATTTTCTTTATCGTTAGTCTGCTTATATCGTGCTACTATAAACTAGTAGCTATGTAATGCATTCATATACCTAGTCTAAGTATCAGTAATTGATTAGACTAGAATTCTGATAATACCTATAATGCAAGGAAATCTACATTAGCATAAGTTTCAGTTCCATAGCGTTTATTGCCTTTCTCACTGATTCTGTATGATTTGGACAGCTTATAATTAAAGTGTTCCTTTCATTCGTTTTCGTTAATTTAGCACACATGTGATTTTAGCACACATATGTCGCTTAGTCATTTACTTTTTTCGTTCTATTCTACATAATTAGTATGGTGATTACGCTGCCATGCTTCGCTTAACGAACCGACTTGAAAGTGTTTAATTTTATTCGATACAAGCTAACATGAAAGTGTTTCAACCGACAGCATTGACAGGGTTCGCTACACGACGGACAAGTACGTTGTTTCCCAAAGAAAAACGAAAACTTTCCAAGCCGTCTAAGAATTTGCAATGTCCGCTTCTCAACGATTGAAACGCGTTAAATATATTATTATATATTTCGTTCTCTCTTCCGATCGGATAACACGTGCAAGCAAAATAAAGGCAACGCAAAACTTGACTCGAATAACAACTCTAATCTTCGCCTAATTAGAAATCAGAATTTCATGTTTTGTATTATAAAATTTGTTTCGTGGTGTCGGTAATTCACATATTATTTCGAAGAACGGACGTTCGAACGTTGTTCGTTCTCCAGTTCGAAGATGTCGCTTCGGACAGCGTCCAACAGTGTCGGTGTTTCCAGTCGATGGCCGCCTCGTTTCGAGCGAGGCGAGGCGATCGGTAGAAACTAGAAACCATTTCAGCGTCGAAACAGATTAAATATTCGCATTGACGACACGGAATCGGATGTACTATGTCGAATAGTATAGGATTATCATACAATTGCTTATGCAACGACGCGGTAAGTACGATAGAAGTATACAGTATATACATATATATACATACATATAAGGGGAAGCTTTTGTCCCGAAGAGCTTGCGTTAACATCAAATTATGTGCATTCTCGTGTAAAATGTCAACGACGAAATGTAGTAAGAAAAGGCATGCCTCCGAATGTGCAGGGGGTGCTGTCGAATCTGGTTGTTCAATCGAGAACGGCTGTATCAATAGTAGAACTAACCTTTAAAATTTATCGAACGTAAATCATCAACTTTTAGTTGTTGTAGACTTTTTCTTTTATCCAAATATTCGTTAGAATTTCAAAGTCGTCTGGGACGTTCGTACAAAATTTGGAAAATGGAATCTGTTGCGGTACGACGTTTCGAGACTAGCGACAGACAGTTCGTTCGCGCATGCGCGGCATTTGAATTTCGTAGCAACAGTTTGTGTGCTCCCGCCGGTTTGTGTTTATACTGCTGCGTCCGTGCGTACCGTTGCAACTTCGAACAATCGATTTTCAAACGTTGTTATTAAAAGAGGCACCATATTAAAAACGACGTTAAATAGCGCGATTAACGTCACTAAAACGGGTTCACGTTGTCGAAAAGCTAGTCCGAGCGAGATTTGGTCGATCTCTCGATTTTTATGGTCGACCGTGATCTTAGCTGACAGATTCATTCCGAATTCGATTTATCAATCAACGAATCGATGGTAAATACACGATTCAAGGGAGCCACCGTCGATTTCAACGAGCTTGGAACATCAGAAACATCGAGGAACGTATTCGTGAACACGGAATTAAAAATTTCAATTAGCGATTTAAAAATTCTTTTAATTTCAGCATAATATAATAGCTTTCCTGTTTCGTTTACTAGGTCTGAATTAAATCTGAGTTAGCCCCGAGTTTGGCTCTCGAACGGGGAAAAAGAAAATAAAAAAAAAGAATTCCTTTCAGGTTAAAACTAGGATCGAATATACCTGGCCTGATCGAATCTCTTCAACTTCCTAATTGCGAGCATCTCGCGATCCTCGGAATCGTTGGCGGCTTCCTCAAATATATTCACCGAATCAATAAGATAATCATTTAGTGCAATCAGTTGTAAAGACGACAGTGATACAAAATGTCATGTAACCGCAATAAATCCTATTAAATTAATGATATAAAAGTGAAGTATTATAGTAGATGTACACCTTTCCGTATATATCTCTTTGGGGTTTAGTTACACGAATTCATCGCATCTAGCAATTTGTATCTTCTAAATATCTTCGATGTCGCACGAAGTTCCAATTTTTCTGTTACGGTGATCATGGTCTGAACGTTCTCGCAAATAGCCTAGGCACAATCACTTTCGCAAACGTTTCGTTCGATTCTGTGTCGCGGGCTTACGGCGCCCCCGTGGCCTAGTTCCGTCCCCAGTTTTACACACTAGTATCAACATCGCCGCGGACCGTTTCCTACATAAATAGATATATAGTGTATTCTCCCGTCGTCGTCCGTTCAAAGTATGTATATATGTACATACTCTGAATCATGCTCGGTCATCGGTGCGACGCACAGAACATTCGGACTCGTGCGTGCGTGCGCGCGCGCGGAACAATACGGTACTTAGGGTATCGAAAATAACATCGCGTGCAAGCGTATTTCGTTGGCAACCGTGTCGTGCGTCGAGTCGCGCGAAACGTTCTCTCGTGTTCGAGGTTATCAACATTGTTCGGCCACGATCAACAGGTGACTCCGTCCGTCAGCTTCCTCGTTCGCTTGGTTCAGTTTCAGGGCACGATCGGCCGACACGCGTTCCCGGTTACAGCATCGAGATCGTCCGTTGCCGTTTCAGCCGATGATGGCGGACGAGGCTCGGATCGAGGCTCGACGGAAACCGTCGCGCAGGAGAGCCGCGCAGGCCTTCCCTCCCTCCGCGGTGATCCCGCCGCACTGTTGACTTTCCGTGGTGAAGCTGTCGATGGCGAACAGCAGCGGCAGTAGAATCGACGCGTTCGTGATCACTAGATTACCGATATTAAGAGGAGCTGTTCCCCATTGTCAGACACCGCTGTTCGGAAAGCGTGGCGGGGGAAGCGGGGGCGGTGGTCTCTCCGGTTGAGCGGGTGCGCCGGAAGATCGCTCTGATCCAGCTGCAAACACAACTGTTCGTCCGGATTAATCAGATGTACAATTTCCATTGCACTCGCGGGTTTCGTTAACACTACGATTCACATTCATCTACCAGATCGTTTCAATTTAAATAGACGACATACAGCAAGCCTCTACGGTTTCTTGTAGAAAGAAATTGGTTACGGACAGTATTCGGATGTTGCTTTACTAGCGTATATGCTCCTCGAGGTATCGATACGGATCGGACGTTTTAATTACTCTCCTTTAATCAGTCGGTAGTAATCGTAGGTCGTATGAAAATCAAGATGAAATGATCGTTGTACTGAAATTAAAATATAAAAGCATTACATTCGTTTTTCTCCTCGGAACATCGATAAAATAGTTTTCGTTTTATCTTTTTATTTTCATTTTCATTTTATTTTATTTTATTTTCTTTTTTTTGGTTCGGCTTCCTTATCTCTTTTTCTTAAAAAATAAGCATTTCAAACGTTTATTAATCTATGTGCAGAATAAAGTTTATACCGATCGTGTGCGTGTTAAAAAAATGTTTACTGTATCGTTCTAAGCGAAAACCTTCCTGCTGACTGTTCGTTATCTGACTTTACTTTGCGGTGTGCCTCGATTTTAACGTCGTGGACGCCTGAGTTTAGAAAATTCGAGAACGAAATATCTTCTCGTTGCTACTTTGCTAGAAGCAAATGCAATGAACTATAATTTGCCTCCGTTCTCCTGAAAAAACATAATAGAAATGTAATTGATTATATTAAGGAATTCAGCGGAAAGTGATCTTATTTGTCCGTGATTAGTGTTTCCTGCGCAATCTGATATCATTGAGTTGCAACGAATTTAAATAAACAAATACCTGAAAATATGAAAATAATAATAATAACAATGGCAATAACGATAATAATGGTAATGGTGATAATAATAGTAACAATAATAATAATAACAATAATAATAATAATAATAATAATATTCTTCGACTTTATGATTATTTACATACAGGCGAGGTGCTTACAAACATTAACAGTGAGCTCGGTAGAGACAGACGAAACGTTCCTGTTGAATATTGTCGTGTCCAGAAAGAAAACAATATCATAGTATACAATAACGATGTTGTTCAGAAGGCATTGAGAAACATTGAAGAAAAGGCATTGAAAAAAAATTATTCGAGATGAGAATCGATGCGCTGATGATATGTAATCAGTGGGAAATATTGTTGTCCCTCATCGCTTCTTCTATTGTTCAATATCGTAAGGAGTAAGCTTTGTACGGGTATGAAAATTTCGAAATAAAAAATGCAAGAAATCGATTATCACTATTCGGATCTTCTTTTTAATCTAAACAAAAATAAGATACATTCATGCGCAACATGCCCATTATACCATTCATGCTCCAACTGTGGTAGTATTGAAGTCGGTTTTACAGTATTCGTATAAAAAATAATAACAGTAATAATAATAATAATAATAAAAATAATAATAAGAAGAAGAACGATAACAATAATAATAATAATAAGAATGTGATAGAATTTTTGTTTTGAAATCTTTGTCGAACATGATACTCGTATGACACCTCAGCTTTTTTGTTTCTTTTTTTCGTTCAATACGATTTTTTTTTCTCTCCACTCGCAAACCGATCTGCAGAGACCAGATATTCTTTTACGTTAGTGCGTAATCCATGATGGCCTACCTCCACTTACACTACTACAAAGGCCAGTGTTGATAGCACATAATATTATATTCTTAGAACAAAAGTGAAACCAATACGTCTACCAATTTCGTTTATAAAAATACTTAGAATCGACTAGTTAGAGATGTGTATATATATATATATATATAATATAATATAATATATATGTATATAGATATATTTATATTTATATATGTATGTATATCGTATAACAGACGATAGAAGTGAGATCACTATTGTATATTATATCATAGAATAGAGCTTATAATACTGAGAAGTTCCTTACATCGTAGTTTGAAAAGATCACAATAACATTGTTGCAGAACCGTTTTTATCTCCGCGACGGTACGTCGTCTTATGCTTCTTATTTATTTACAATTGCTACATCATTATTTCCACGCGCGCGCGCGCGTGTGTGTGCGCGCCGCGTCAATCGTCAGAGATATAAGCTCTAGACGGAAACAAAAATGCTTCAACTCTGTCCAACCTTTATTCGACCGTGTGGTGTGAGTGTTTTGCTGAAGCACTGTGAGCAGCGCAGTCGAGATCGACTACACGAGGCGAGTCCCGCGCAGCGGTGGTGGGGCGTCCTCCGAGCGAACGTTACGATTCCGAACTACGATCGGACGCGGAGGCCCTGCGTCGCGTCGTGACGTCATCGCAGCTCAGAATTGTAACGTTCGCCCGGTAAGACGTCTAATGCCGCTGCGCGGAACTCCCTGCGCATTCGTCGCCTCGCGTAGTCCATTTTCTTGACCGCGCCGACTGTGAGTTCGTGGAAAGCCAGAATAAAGCTATGACCGATGCATGAGATGCAAACATTTACCGAACGTGAGAACAAATCCGAGACTGGTCTATACGTTTTCTTTTTCTCTCGTTATCGGACATCACATAAGATAAAACAAACGATAACAAGTTCGATCGAAAAACTTTATCGGTGAATTAACATCGTCGTCGGATCGACGGATAAAAAGAGCGATCGCTACGAAAAATCCTTACCGTTAGAGCAAACCTAAAACGGCAACGACTATAATAGAAACAAACGATCGTGAGTAATGTACATTCACAGACGGACTATCAAATGTAAACGTAAAATCTGAAACTTCTAAACGTCTTAATTACAGCGTGTGTGTACAGTTTTGTTGCGCGGGCCGATAGTGTTGTCGTGGTTGGGTCAAGTGGCACCTTGGCATTCACGCAACGCGATTTCTATGCTCGTTTGCACTCTCCTATGATTTTCTATTGTCAAGTACGAAAGTCTATGTATATATGTATAACAGATAGGTAGTATGACAATTGTTCTTTGCTAGGACCACTTGGTTATGTCTTGTAGTAGCGAAGCAGCAATGTAATATTTGTATATTTGTTCACGGAATCAGCGGTTTGATTCCTCTGCACTTTCGAATCATACTGAAAGCAGAAAAATAATAGTCGCAAATAAATGAGAAAAAGTATGTATCACAATGAGACTACAAATAAACAAAATTTACGAACATACATAGATGACATTATGACATGCACAATGATCGGTAGATGAGAGAAGCGACCCACCGACAAACAATTCTCTTGTCCGCGAGTCCTCGATTCTACGAAAACAGAGCTCACCGCACACCACCTTGGCCCAAAGATAATACTTTCGTTCATCTCTCCCCGAAAGCGGCGCAGTCGAGAAAGTCGACCACGCTCTACCGAGCGCGCATTGCGATTCCGAACCGCGATTGGACGGAGGCTCCGCGTCGCGTCGCCGACGTAGTTCGGAATTGCAACGTTCACCCGGTAGACGACTCGACGGCGCTGCGCGGGACTCGCTGCGCATGCGTCGCCTCGCGTGGTCCGTTTTCTCGACTGCGCTGCCGAAAAGTCTAACACCGAGTCGACAATTTTTCTCAACCGGTGCTCCATTTTGTTTCTCGTTCGCAAGATGGCGGCGCTGCTTCGTCTTGCGAACATTCGTTTCACTTTCAGAACTTGACGCGGCTCTTTCTCGTCGATAAAACATTTTCTTTCCGAACAAGAGACGTTTCTTAGGGACCATTTAGTCGATGATTCGAGCGAATCGAACGGAAAACGATGAAACGCGAAGCGTTCAAAGGAAGGCATTACCGTTCGGGCTTACCAAGATGGCGCAATTCTTTAGGTATTTTAGATTCTCTTAGCTATTCTAGACGTTTCAATGACATAGCAATCGCGACGAAGGTGTCCAGCTATATTACAGTTTAAAAAAAAACCGTTCTAATGCAAGCTGAAAGAATTGTTTGCGACATAGAGACGGATATGACAATGGTAGTAGATGACTGTGGGCGATTTTTGGTGAGGTTTTTAAGCCTTACATGAATCAGGATGTGGCTTCTCCTCGGCCACCATCAGGGCTGCACTCTCTGCCGGCGGTATGTGTCCCTCTAATGCATTCACACAGTTTAGCATGCTCCTGCAAAACATCACGCGACTTGTCCAAGTTTCCGCTTCTTCATACATGTCTATTGAATCTCTCCTTCTCTTTTATTTACATTCCCAGAATCTTCGTCGAGGGCATCGACCCAACACATGCACCGACGTCGTCGTACCATGAGAAAATCAGTATCGCGGCATATCAACACAACTGGTCAATGTAAGTTACATATCCGGCTTTTTTTATCTTATCCTAATTGACCTGGATTTGAATTTGAAAATTCAAAAAAGGTGTTTGTGAATTGAACCCGTTACAATTGTGTTAAATTAACGATAAGTTATCTTTGTTCTACGATACATTATAACGCCCTTTATCATTTATATTTATCTTTATTCTTTTTGTCTTTTTTTTTCGTTTTACTTTTCTTTTACCGTTTGTAAAGCAACCATTAGTCGAACTTTAATTTTGCCCATTTACTTGTTTCGTTTGAAATTATTGTATTTCGGTTTTCTTTTTGTTTGTTTTAACATATTTTTTTACGTTGTCGTTGCGACGATTGTTATTGTTGTTATTGTTGTCGTTTTTTTTTTGTTATTTCGTTCGTTCACATAATCGCAGTCTTTTCGTTTCGTTGGATTCTCAATAGATCTCGCACGATCCTGTGTTTTCCGGCTGCCGGGTGGTTTACGCGAGGATCGTTTTCGAGAAATGATAATTCATTTCACAGTTTCTAGCCTTGGTGTAGGAATTAACAGTGGTTCACTGGCCTGTGTAGTAGACTTGAGACACATCTGCTTATCGTCCAACGTTACTAAAAAACATCGAGCATCGAAGGTTCCCTGTTCTCCCATCGAGCGATCGCCTGATTGCTAAACGAGACTCTCGAACGAGAGCCGATCGAGACACCACGGCGCGAGAAGGAGATGCGGACCGACCGAGATGCGTTACTCCCACCACAAAATCCGGAAATGGATTGGATTCCTTACGTTATTCGAAGTAATTTTTTCCTTAGCGAAAATGCAAACAGCGGCTTCGTTTACGAGTTATTAATGAAAAACGCCAACCAATAAGAAGCGAGCTCTGCTGACGCGAGGCGGCCGAGCCAACGAGCGCGCGAAGCCTAGCTCCGTTCATTGGCTCGGCCGTCTCGCCGCCAGCAGATCTCGCCTCTCATTGGTCACTGATTTTCGTTGATAACTCGTAAACGAAGCCACGGTTTGCATTTTCGCTAAGGAGAAAGTTGCTTCAAATGATCTCAGGAACCCTCCATTTCCGAATTACGAGACATTTTTGAGACACCCTGTATATGCGCACAAGTCTGGTATTATTCTCACGCGAACTCTCTGCTTCTAATGGATCATCTAAAACGTCGACAACAGATCAAAATGAGCTTGGCAAGCTTGAAATCCGTAGTGACTTCTCTCGCCGATTATTTGACTTTCGAATTTGACTTTCGGTACGATAAATTCTCCCTAATTTATTCTCAGCTTGTGAACAAAAATGGACTATTTTGGAAGAGGAGGTACGATTATTCGAGGTTTCGCGGTTTGATTTTGTAGCTTGCCGGCTCTGAAATGGCAGTGATTTTTGGTGGGAAAGGAAAAGAAGCCGTTTCGTCCGGGATCCGCTAGAGGACTCGTCAGTAAATGAAATTGAGGCGGATCGTTTACTTGCAGAAAAGGAGGATCCATCTGCTGGCGAGTCAGTAGTTATTGACTTTGTTAACAACTATAAAAACGAGCCGCGAGATTCGAACAATCCTCCTCTTCCCAAATTGTCCATTTTTGTTCGCAAGCTGAGCATCGGTTAGGGAGAATCCGCTGTGCTGCCCGTCCACGAGAAGACGGCACGTTCGCTTCACATTCCCCCACTTGCCAGTCGCCCCACCACCGCCGCGGCTGGTAGGAGGGGGAACGTAAACGCAGAGACGCCATCGTCTCGCGCGGGAACTGTACCGCTACGGTAGAGCGTCTCTGTAACGAGTGCGTCGCACGCATGCGCGTGCACGCAATGGAAACTGGAGCACCTGGCGGCTTATCTCGGAAGCGAAACTTCGAGATCGCAGAAGCGAGAACGAGGTCGGTCGGTCTCTCCTTCCGACAGCGCGATCGGGACTTTCATTGATAAATTCGATGCGGCAGAACGGAAAGTCGCGGTGCGCGATCGTGTCTGCGGTAACGGCACCTGATAGCTGACACGTTCTCCTGCAAGGTGAGTCGAGAGTCGGATCGACGGGTCGACGAATAAAGCGAATCAAGAGAAAATAGGAAACGAAAACACGGGACGCCGAACGGAATCTCGCGTGCGAGGTGGTTCGCTTGAATTCGGTGGAGGTGAACTGAAACCGTTTAATCAAATAAACAAACAGATTTATTGTACAAGATGTAATATATATATCACGTATATACAGGTATATATGTATATATATTAGATCTGTATGCGGATACGTAATGTATATGTATATTATATGTATATGGAAGTTTATCGGTGATGCCGAAATATTCGTCGGTTAATATGTATAGTAACACTAGTTAACGAGTGTTCTAAAAAGTCGTAAACGCGTAATCAGTGATTACAATTATCCTCGGAACGGTATCTCCGCTACGTGTAATGCTATATCGTTGCCGATAACAATTACATATTTTTTGTGTTTTTTCTTTTCGATTAGATTGACTGGATACGAGAACTCTAGAGTTTACAGTTTTCTTATTACGTTTCTCTCTCTCTCTCTCTCTCTCTCTCTCTCTCTCTCTCCCTCTCTCTCTCTCTTTCCCCCTCTCTCTCTCTTTCTCGCGTTTCTTTCTGCAGCGAATGATATTCGACACTAGGATTGATTAGAATCGTTCAGAAGTTATTCTAGTTATATATATATATTTTTTTTTATGGTTTGTCAGTAGCGTGGGTATGGTTGGCAGTGGTGGCGTCAGATAGGACGGTCTCCTTGCTAGAGTTAGTGGCGAGCTCCTCTTCCCTGCAATATAATAATGTTACATGCCCATCGAGCCTCGAATCGTCGTCGATCGATAGTTTGTTTTAATTTTTTCTTTTTTTTTTCGTTTGTCTTTGTTTGCTTTTTTTTGTTTTTTTTTTTGCTTTTGATTTCAAAGAGAGAAAAATCCTAGATTTGCGTTATGTCGTACGGAACAATGTAAGCTATATTTACTTCTAAGGAAAAAAACGTGTGTATACATGTACAACCTACGTCGAGAATAACATAAAGGTCAGTTTGCAACAAATTCTCAGCTACTGTATAATGTCTCTTTGGAATACGGAAGAACACTCGCACGGAATTATTATTACGGTGGACACAAACCAGCTCTAGTTAGGCTGTCGTCTAACGATAAACACATTGCTGATTACGTGTACAAGGATGAATGAGATTGACAAAGAAAAATCGTTTACGTATTATTATTATTATTCGGCAAACGGATTTCCGGCGTTTCGAATCACCTAACGATGTTACAGCGAATCAAATTCTGGCCGTACGATTCTCCGTTGTTCTCTTTTTAATACAGCGATGCCTCGATCGTAGATCAGTCCGTGGATCTTTGCAGAAAATGGAAGCTTGTTCGGTCGATTCTGAGAAATAGAAGTTAAGTAGAAATTCATTTCTGCTTTTTAAATTCAGATTAAGAAACAGTGTTTGCGCGGGCGATAAGTCGTTTGGAAATATTTACACGTTTATGAAACGTCTATATATGTTAGACGATAGGAAATACGGTAATTTCTCCCGGAAATGACAAATTTCGGGTTGCTCTGAATTTCCCTGCGCTAGTCCTGCGCCTATGTAATTTAGGCGTATGTAATTGCTACGTCGATGCTAATGGTCGACGAAGTTCCTGGAAGACAACACGAAATGGTCCGACCGTCATGTGCTTTCCGAATTGCCTCGAATCGTGTCACGTGGTTCCTAAATTGCTTTCGAATCGTGTCACGTGGCCTCCGAATTGCCTCCGAATCGTGGCAAAAAATTATAAACAAAAAAGTTACGTTATCGTTTTTATTCTAGCATTGCTATGTATTCATATTAACACTTTACCGGCCGTTAAATGACGTCAACAGCCGCTGGTACGACATGCGTATCATGCGCAGAGTATTCAGACGACGCACGCGCGAGAATCCCGCGCAGCCGCGCGGCGCGTCTACAGGGTGGCACCTATCGTAACGTATCGTATCGTACCCGCAGCTCCACGTTGCCATCGTAGTTCAGAATTACAATGCTCACCCGGTAGACGCGCCGCGCCGCTGCGCGGGACTCCCTCCGCACGCGTCGCCGCCCCACTCCTCGCGTAGCAATTTTTCCTGAATACACCGATCGCGCGCCGTTCGGCGCCAGTATCGGTGGTACAAAACTACTAGTTATTTCCGATTTGACTGTGAACGAATGCGAAATCACAATTTCCCTTGATAATACAACAATAAACCTGAAATTTCAATATTTGCGAAGTTTATTTGACAATTGATCGCCGATTTGCAAACTGTCATTTGATTATAATTTTGCTTATTTGTAAAATAGCAGTTTAATCCAGGATAAAACGTCGGCTCCCCGTGAAAGTTTCTCGTAAAACCGCGCGGACTGTAAAGGGTTAAGGTACACCGGCATGCTGGCCGCTGCCTTTTTTCGCCGACTGCCTCGAGTTTCTGTAAAAACGAGCCGCGAGGCTTGAAGAATCGCAACTCGGTATACTCGGATCTGCCGGTTTCAAATCCGACCTCCGAACATTTTCGGGAGACGCATTACTGTAAATCGATCGATTCTCGATACTAAATACAAACTCATGTGATCTTCTATTTTTGGAGATTTAACCCCGATCCAGGAAAAAGGTCCAACGGATGAACCAGTTAACGAGACATTGCTGTATTTCTTTTCTGTACGTCGCTTGCGGTTTTTCTTTTTCTAAAGGTGTTTATCCAGGTATCACGGTGTGTATACCTGATGGAGTGTAACTCGTGATACGACCAAAAACAATACGACTTCTCGCGTAAGAATAACGCGACGAACAGAATGTAATTGTTCGCGTCGGACGTTTTGTTATAAAAGAAACCATGATGTAATATACAATTGTTAAGTTGCCAATCTCCGTTAGTACCAATAGAATTTGTGCAATCGTGAACAGAATGAAACGTGTTAAGACTTGCTTCGCGGTCGCAGTAGAAACAGTCTGACATAGCCAGACGCGACAGGTACAGTAATGTCTCCCTTACTGACGCTCTCAGATTGTCCACTAAAATGGACAATTTAGGAAGAGGAGATACGATTATTCGAGCCTCGCAGCTCGTTTTTATAATTGTGGACAATTTATAACTATAAAAATAAACCGCAAGGCTCGAATAATCGTATCTCCTCTTCCCAAATTGTCCATTTTTCTGCGCAATCTGGGCGTCAATTAGAGAGACATTACTGTATATTTCACTTGTATTGGAACAGAACGAAATAGGAAGATTTTAATAAATTCGTCCACGAATTCTTTTAGAATGCGATCTTTCAGAATACATTTTTTAAAAATAAATTTCTTTAAAATACATTTATTGAATATAAATCTCTTC